AGGAAGGAAGGAAGGAAGGAAGGAAGGAAGGAAGGAAGGAAGGAAGGAAGGAAGGAAGGAAGGAAGGAAGGAGAAAGAGACAAAAAGGATTAACAATGTTAGAAGCCCACACAGGGCAAATATGTCAGAGTGGGGGAAAGTCACTCTTTGAGCCACCGGGACTGAATAAGGAATGGGACCTTGGAGGTCCTCTAGTCCATCCCCCTGCTCAAGCAGTAGACCCTATGCCATTTCAGACTAAGGGCTGTCCCAGTCTCTTCTTTAAAAAGCCTCCAGAGATGGAGCCCCCACGATTTCTAATGGCAAGCAGTTCCACTGGTTAACTTTTCCTCACTGTTAGGAAGTTTCTCCTTAGCTCTAGGTTGCTTCTCTCCTTGGTTAGTTTCCATCCGTTGCTTCTCGTCCTGCCTTCCGGGGCTTTGCAGAATAGCTTGAGCCCCCCTCTTCTTCTTTGGGGCAGCCCCTCAAATACTGGAAGGCTGCTATCCTGTCCCCCCCAAGTCCTCCTTTTCTCCAGAGGGGCCAAACCCAGATCCTGCGACCGTCCTTCGTATATTTTAGCCTCCAGGCCTTTGATCCTCTTCATTGCTCTTCTCTGCACCTTTTCCCAAAGTCTCCCCATCTGTTCAATATTATGATTATGTCATGTCTGGTGTTGTGGTATGTGATGTGTTGTGTTTTGTTGTGTTATGTGTTATGCTCTGCTATTGGGAGAGCCAGTTTGGCATAGTGTTGATGACACCTGGCCAGAAACCGGAAGCTGTGGGTTTGAGTCCTTCCTTGGGCACCAAGCCAGCTGAGCTGGGCCGCCCGGTGCCTCTCCCGCCTCCTCCTCAGTCCTAGAAAGGAGAGAGAAGTCGAGGGAAAACCACGTCTGGGAAATCCTTGCCAAGAAAACTTCCGGGACCTGTCTGGGCAACCTCTGAGAATTGGCGAAGAGGGAATGGAAGGAGGGAAGCAAGCTGTTTCCACGGCACATAGCAATAGCAATAGCAGTTAGACTTATATACCGCTTCATGGGGCTTTCAGCCCTCTCTAAGCGGTTTACAGACTCAGCATATCGCCCCCAACAACAATCCGGGTCCTCATTTCACCCACCTCGGAAGGATGGAAGNGGCTGAGTCAACCTTGAGCCGGTGAGATTAGAACCGCCGAGCTGCAGATAACAGTCAGCTGAAGTGGCCTGCAGTACTGCACCCCTAACCACTGCGCCACCTCGGCTCTTTTACAACTTCTCGTAGAATGAGTAGTGACGCCCCTGTTGGGAAACATATGCCCTAGCTATGCAGCCCCTTAGCCGCCTGCCGATGGTTGCTGCAGACACCTTCCTTCCCAGAGTCGTGAGCTGAAACGACACGAATAGACTTTCCGACCTCCGAGAGTCGGCGGAGCGACTGGTATAGATCTTAAGGGCCCGTCGCATGTCCAGCTTGTGCCGCCTTCTCTCCAAGGGATATTTGGGTGAGGGGTAAAATGACCCCTTGGGCCCGGTGTAAGATGCATGTGCTTGCGCAGGAGGGGCGCCACCCCTCCCCAGCCCGTTTTTGGTCCCAGGCTTCAGCCCAAAATGGGCCACAGGGGAGGTTGTACGTTCATGGGTGGGCAGGAAGCACAGGTGAGTGCGCTTGCATGCGCGGGGGACGGGGTGGAGTGTCCGAGGGGAGGAGGTCGCGAGCTTTTCATTATGCCTGTGGGCACGCATGCACGCACTGTCACACATGCGCACATGCTTTCAGCATGCAAGGACAAAAAAGTTAGCCATCACCGGTCTCGGGTCTCCTGCTTGAGCTGGACTAGAAGACCTCCAAGGTCCCTTCTGGCTCTATTCTGATATAGATAATTTGTTACAAATCCAAGCAAAGACTGAACTCTTCAGTGTACCCCATTGGGTCAGGAACCCATCACCCATCATTTTCTCCTCCTTCCAGGTACAGACTTGGGCCCGAGAACCCTTTTCCAACCCAGTACGTCGAATGTCTGAAGGCGGCCATCTTCCTCATGAAACACGCAGGTGATTACGGGGTGGACAGTTCCCGTATTATCATTTCCGGAGACAGCTTCGGGGGGTGTGTTGCCGCGCACATCTGCCAGGTACTGGCGGACCGGAGCGACCTTCCCAAGGTCTACGCCCAAGCGTTGATCTACCCCGTGCTTCAGGCCTTGGATTTGTCCTTGCCGTCCTATCAGCAGAACCGCCGTAGTCCCATCTTGTGGCGTAGGCTAGTTCCCTTCCTCTGCTGCTATTTCTTCAACAAGCCCACTTCTTTTGTGGACGATATCCTGAAGAACAGCCACGTCCCCGAGGCCACCCGCCGGAAGTACCGCAAGTGGGTGAGCGCCGACCACATCCCGGAACGGTTCAAAGCCAGAGGCTACACACCGCCGCCGCCGTCTCCGTTTAACCCTCGGCTGCATGATGAAGTAAAAGTGGTGCTCACCGAAATGTGCTCGCCCTTGATCGCCGAGGATGCGGTCATCTCCAAGCTCCCGCAAACCTTCCTGTTGACCTGCGAATTTGACGTCCTTCGCGACGACGGGTTGCTGTACGTGAGGCGGCTGACGGACAACGGCGTACCGGTAACCTGGAGCCACGTGGAGGACGGCTTCCATGGGATAGCCGTGGTCTCCGGGTATCGCTTCATGTCCTTTTCTATAGCCAAAAGGATTGTGCACGATTTCATCGATTTTATCCGACGCTTGTGAGACCAAAACGAAACAGAGAGGAGGACGGCGGCCTTTTGATCTTCTTTCCAGGGAATCCAGTGGCCCAGACTCGCAGTCCCCTTGGGATAAACTGGTTGGACTCCCAAACCAGGGTCTTCCCCACCCAAACGCAGCTCTTAAAAATGAACGCGGCTCAGAAGAACTCATGAAGAAGATTCTATTCAATTCTGTTCTGTTCTATATTCCCGTGATGACAAACCTGGCACGCGGCGCCATTTGTTAGGGGCACACGAGGCGTTGCCCTGTCAGCTCCAGCGTGCAGGTGTGCGCTGGCCAGCTGACTTCGGCCTTCTTTTTCGGCCATTTCCCCACCTCCGGAGGCTTCCTTGAAGCGAAAAACCCGCCAACACGCAAACCAGAAGTTTGGGAAGGGACTTCCGGTTTGCGCGTTGGGCTGTTTTTCACACACACCCTCCAGAGCCTTCAGGGAAGCCTCCAGAGGGCTTCCAGGGGGCGGAGAGGCTGTTTTTGCGCTCCCCAGGGTCCTAGAAAGCCTCTGGAGCTGGGGGAGGGTGAAAAATGGGTTCATCACAGGCCAAAAGGGGGCTGGTGGTGGTGTATTTTCACGCACATGCATGCAGGGGGGGGGGATCGCGCATGCCCCCCTCTGTGCTCCCCCTGCTTTTGGCACGCGATCCAAAAACGATTAGCCATCCCTGCTATATTCTCTTCTGTTCTATATTCTATTCTGCATTCTATTCTGTTCCAACAATTCAATTATTAAAAAATAATTGTAAAAACATTTTAACTTTTTATCATTCGCATTCGTCCTGCACTGTTCCTTCCATGATTTTATTCTGCCATTTCTTTGATATTAGCGTTAAGTCTTTTCCCGTGGCCAGTTGTCCTAGATAGACCCATATAAGACTCAACACCGCGTTAATTTTACAACCTGCTTTACATTTCATTCATTTCAGAATATACCCAGTTACCAAAGAAACCTTTATTGATTTCTCCCACGTAGAACTACCAGTCTGACGCCATAAATCCGATTTGACACAGAGTTGTTCCGAATGTCCCTTTCAAACTGGATGCTCTTAATGAAGTGGACGTGTTCCTTTATATTTGTGGACAGAGCAATTTGTTCCTAGAAAATATTGTTCTTAGGCAGGTTAGAAGCAACACATTTTGCTTTCCAGCCTGACATCACACTGTAGTCGAAACACGTTAAAGGTTTTAATAAATCCGAAACGAATTGGGGGGGGGGGGAATTCTTTTGCCCCAAATAATTTGACGCAATGTTCATTCACGTAATGTGAAATCCGGTGAATTTTCAAACACTTTCATTTCTTCAAAACTTTTCAGACGTATTGTAACAAGGCGAGCTTTGGCTGATTTTGGCAAATTTAGCCTAAATGTTCTTAACCGATTAACGCAAAACCTTGCAATTAAAACTCCTCATCTTCTTTTGTGCGCTGAACTTTCCATCTCAGGGAGAGAGAGAGAGAAAAAAAATATATCCTTTTGCGTTTTAGAATAAATATCCTGTTTCTCATCCTCGGGAGGCTCTCAATCTGGGATCACTTCAGCTGCAGAACCACCTTTAAAGAAGGACAAAAGGGGGAAACCAATAAATCACAGCAGCTTATTCAAATATATTATTTTAAACTTTACGGGGTGGACGTGATCGTCCACATAGTATCTTCTAAAATCAATCAATCCCTCAACCGTGGAATTCCCGACGAATCTAAAAAAGGTTAAATTAGGGCAAACCGGACCTTCGTTAGGTTTAATAAATGAAGTTTATTAAAACCGAGACGTTTTGTTATTTTCATGATTTGAGGATTTATTGACGTGAAAATCCCAACGGATTCCAACACTGGCTACCAATTTTCTTCCCCAAGGAAAAAAAAATTTAAGCTTTATTTGGCCCCCAAAGTTAACATAAAGAGTAAAAAATGGGAGATGCCAAAGGACCGGAAAAGTAATGTCAATTAAAAAATAGAACTATCACTCAGTTTGGGGTGAAATAAGCATTCGGTATCTCCTGCCAGGCTGGGCGTTTCCCACGGTCCTTGACTTACGACCACAAAGCCCAGAATGCAATAGCAATAGCAGTAGACTTATATACCGCTTCATAGGCCTTTCAGGCCTCTCTAAGCGGTTTACAGAGAGTCAGCATATTGCCCCCANAATTGATTGTCAATCAGTGTTGCTACCTAAGTGGACAGTTTGATGTCACAGAATTGTGATTGACTTGAAGTTACATTGTGTTGTCTAAGTGTTCCACATGTGCGAGTTCTCGGAATGGCCGGTAGCCTCCGTGCTCCAATGGGATAGAAGAAAGAACCACCCGAAAAGCATCCTGGTCTCTGGCAGTGAGCCATGCAAGGAAGGAGCCATACGGTAAAATATGACCTGGGGGTCTCGGCCAGACAATCAGCTATAGGGCTGGCTGCTTTGGCTGGTTTCTAGCCTGTTCGGCTGCCGTAGCATCTTCTCTCACTCTGGCAGCGAAGATGGCGGTGCCGTGCTGACGGCGCCATCCCCGGTGGTTTTTAATAACGCCGGCGCTTCTCGGCTTTGTTTCTGGACTTGGGATTTTACTTTTGGACTTGAAAAATTCAGGAGAATCCTTGGGACTGCGCTAATACTATCCTACCAACGAGGGGGTGGTCAGTCTGGATGGCACCGAGTAGGATCAAGTGGCTGGCCTTGCTACCGCCGCCACGGCCCTTTCCACCACCACCACCCTCACTCACTCTTCATCGTATCCTGGCTTGCAGCGTCCTGTCAGCCTCTGTCCTTGTCCTCTTCGAGTGGGAGAGCCCCTAGAGTTTTCAGAATTACATCGGCCCGCAATCGGTTTCCTTGGAGTGGACTGGTTGTCTTATGTGGCGCTGGACGGAGCGGACAGCTGTTTCTACGTATCATCATTATGATCCCTCCGGGCGTCCCCCTCCACTCTATTTGAATGGACTGTCTCCACGCTGTGGCTTCTTCTCCGCCCTTGTTGTGGTTGCAGAGCTTTTCCAACTTATTACTCTTACCACCTGGCTCTCCCTGTCTCTGCTTATGTTTATGGACTTTAGACTGCCTATGGACTTTGGACCCTGGACTCTGGACCCCTGGATTTCCAGATTTTTCGATCCTGTCTCCCTGTCCCGACTATTGCCACCTACTACTACTCTAAGGACACTATCTCTGCTGCCCAGACCTCTGCCTCCCTTTACCACACTGTATGGGAGGGAAGACAAATTATTTCTTCTACACCCCGCCCCCTACCATTGACCTGACTGTGTGTCGCCATTCTATGGACCAACAATTGACTTGCACAATTCCAACACTAACTTAATATCTGCGCAACCCCTCTTTCTTTTCCTTTGGTATGTGGAGTGTATGTGTATGCCTGCGAGCGAATGATCCCACTTTCTTTTAAATTATCATAATTATTTTTATTGTACTATTGTATCTTTTAAATTATTGTGGGATATGCATGTGGAGAATGCTTGGTTGGTGCGTATGAGGGGACTGAGAGTGCAGCCTGGAGCTCCCTCCACTGAGGTCTTTCCTGCAACCTTTGAAGGAAGCAGTGGTGAGCCCCCTTCTCAAGAAGCCTGCTCTGGATCCAGCCGTCCTTAAAAACTACCGTCCAGTCTCCAACCTCCCATTCTTAGG